ACTATCATAATAAAAGATTGGGGCAAACCTTTTTTTCCAACCATTCTTGAGCTCATACTACTGTTTTCATTACATGCATGTGACGTTGAGCCCAATGCCAAAAAGTAATAAATTAACAATAATAAAGACGTTATGTATCGTAGACATATAACTCAATGTTGGATCCTTGATACTTGCCTATTTCAAAGGAGTAGAAGGGATAAGTTATATTCTTTTGCTTTTCAATTGTAACCGGCAAAGCATCAACGTGAGGCTCGTTGGCTAATAGGGGAAACATCACACATTTAGCATCATTTAATTAAACTCACATGCAAAGACCGTGAAACGACACTTCTACAAAAAGTAAAAGAACAAAAGATGTATTCTAACCTGTTGCTGAAGAGCCCACTAGAGGAACAGTTTGTTGCTGAAACTCAAATGCAGCTTCAGCTGTGCCATGGAAACCAACATTGTCGGACAAATTACTTCTTTTTGACTCTTGTCTTTTTGTTCGTCGTTGTAGTAATAGTGCTTTTTTTTTTCGGCAGATATTAATCTATACGTTTCATGTCGCCTAAGTTTCACCTCAGCTTCTGACTTTGCTGAGCAGACATGTTTGTTCTTTTGGTCAGAAGTCATTAGTCCTACAAAAGCACAATTATAAGAAATAAAGCACAAGAAATAAGTGGAAATAGCTTGCTGTAGAGGTACCAGCAGAAGCGAATAGCAACAGGATTAATCACTTGTTAATAAAGAGATAACTGTAATTTCTGGTTGTGTTCTATACTTATGTCAAAATCATATATAATATTTTTAAAAAAAAGTTGTTGAATTGCAAGGTTATTCACACATACGGAAGTTTTGATACCTCAAAGTGATCATTTGAAAGAAGATTAATCAAAGAAGATTAAAATTCCTAACAAGGAATCCGCCACAAGAACTTTTTCATATACTACTATACTTCAGAGAATTCTAATAACAAATTTCACTACTTTTCTTTGTATATTAGTTATGGTTAAACTTTCACTTTACAAAAATTGCAAAGAGAATCCAATTACCCTTCGCTAAGGAGATTCGACGGTGAAGATCCTCTCCCAAATGAGATTTATTCCAATAACCCTATCCATGATTTTGTTGGTTTAGCCAACAGGTTCGTCACTTTTTTTGTCTTCTACAAAGTCTTAATTGCAAAACAAACAAATTAATGAAAACAGAAAAAAAATCAAAACCCAACCTTAGTTTGTTTTCACCTTTACTGAAGAAAAGGCTAATCAAGCGAAAACCCGGAGTATCTTTTTGCAGAAGATCTGAAGCTTTGAACCGAGAAAAATACAATAAAGCTGAAAGAGGAATTTATGAAGAGGGTAAAGAAAAGCACAAAAGAAAACTTATACCAAACAAAAGCAGAGCAAAGAATAAAGAAATTGGAAGAGGTGCTTTCTACCTGACAGATTAGGGTGTCAAGAGAACAGGAAATGACAAAGATACCCTTATGATGAAGCAGGTATGTTGACCATCAGCTCCTTGCTTATCCTCTCTTATAGTATAGTAGTAGATAGAAAAACTATCTGTCACGATCCTAAACCCGGACCCGATCGTGATGGTGCCTCTCGTGAAGACGAGGCCAGCCAACTAATCCAACTTATCTTTTTTTTAGAATAGTTAACATTAATAAGCAGCTTTAATATGATT